CGTGGTGACGTCGAAGAAGAGGTATATATGGACATTCCTCCTGGTTTTGAGGATCATCAGACAAAAGGCAAAGTATGCAAGCTTCGGAAGTCATTATATGGTCTTAAACAGTCTCCAAGGGCTTGGTTTGAGAGATTCACTCAGGGTATGTTTAAATATGGCTTCAAACAGAGTCAGGCAGATCACACCTTATTTGTGAAACATTCCTCACGTGTATTTTTTCAAACAGAGTTAGGCAGATCACACTTTGTTTGTGAAACATTCCTCACGTGGTACGACTACAACTCTCATTGTTTATGTGGATAGCATAGTACTTACAGACGATGATAATAAGGAAATACCCTTGTTGTAGAAATATTTAGCTAGTGAGTTTGAAATCAAAGACTTGGGAAGCTTGAAGTATTTTCTGGGAATTGAAGTTGCTCGCTCCAAGGATGGGATATTTATCTCACAGAGAAAATATGTGCTTGACCTATTGAAGGAAACTGGGATGCTTGGCTGCAAAGCATGTTACACTCCACTGGAACCCAATCAGAAATTGGGGGATGATGAAGGTGGAGAAGCTGTTGATAGGGGGAGCTATCAGTGATTAGTGGGTAAGCTCATTTACCTATCTCACTCCCGTCCTGATATTACTGTTGCTGTCAGTGTGGTTAGTCAGTTTATGCATGCTCCTCATCAGATTCACTTTGAGGCTGTCATGAGAGTCTTGAGGTACTTGAAGTCTGCTCCTGGTAAGGGTCTTTATTTTTCAAAATATGATCATCTTCGTGTGGAAGCCTATACAGATGCTGACTGGGCTAGATCAGTAACTGATAGGAGATCAACTTCAGGGTATTGCACCTTTGTTGGAGGCAACCTAGTTACTTGGAGGAGTAAGAAACAGAATGTGATTGCCAGGTCAAGTGCAGAAGCTGAGTTTAGAGCTATGGCACAAGGGGTGTGTGAACTTTTATGGATCAAGTTATTGTTGAGTGATCTAGGTATTGATCAGACGGACTCCATGCGGTTATACTGTGATAATAAGGCCGCCATCAACATTGCTCACAATTCAGTTCAACATGACAGGACAAAACATGTTGAGATTGAGTGTCACTTCATTAAGGAGAAACTCACTAGTGGTGCCATTTGTACTCCTTTTGTCCAGTTTGGTGAACAACTTGCTGACATTCTCACCAAGGGGGTTGGGAATAAGCCATTTCATGACATATTAGGCAAACTGGGCATGAGAGATATCTTTGCACCAGCTTGAGGGGTGGTGTTAGCATATTATATGATTATCTGAGTGTTAGCATATTAGTTTGTAATTATTCTGCATATTAGTTTGTAATTATTCTATGCCTCAGGGATCCCTTGTAATTTTTACAAACTTTAATCTACATTTATATAAATAGGGGATGATATCCTATCAAACCCTAAGCTGGTTACTTTCTAAAAGCTTCACTTTCTATTTGTGGCATTCTTGATTAGGGCATTTGTCTGCTAATCGCTTACAGCCTTTAGCTCCGTCAGGTATATTGGATAAAATTTCTCCTAGTCAACTTACAGAGTGTCGGGAGTGTAAGCTTGCCAAAATGACAGCCTTACCGTTCCATAAAAGTCTATATCTAATATACCGTTTTCTTTAGTTCATACTGATGTCTGGGGTCCTTCTCCTGTTCTCACTAAAAGGGGTTCTGCATACTATGTTGATGATTGAACCCATTACACTTAAGTTTATCTTATGACTCATAAATCTGACTTCTACCAGATATACTGTACTTTTCAGTCTATGGTCACTACACACTTTGGGTCTACTATTAAATTGTTGCAGTTTGACTTGGGCGGGGAATACTTTAAAATTGAGTTATGTGAATAGTTGGCCAATATGAGTACCATTCACCAAACTTCCTATACTGATATATCTGCCCAAAATGGTCGAGCTAAGCGTAAATATCGTTATCTCCTTGAGACAGCTAGGTCTCTCCTTCTCTCTGCCTCCGTTCCGGCTCTGTTTTGGAGTGAGGTAGTTCTTACTGCTGCTTTTGTTCTCAACCGTATGCCTATCCCCTTTCTTTTTGGATGGTCTCCTTATGGGGCTTTGTTTTCTCAACTTCCTAATTACTTCCTCCTCGTATGTTTGGGTCTGCTTGTTTTGTCCTTTTACCCCGTAAGATAGGACCAAACTTAGTGCCTGGTTTGCCCTACCTTATTTTCAGCTTCCTTCTCTCATAGCGCCGGTTTTCAAAGAGGATTTGGTTCATATTGATCTATTTCCTTCCAAGGTCTCTCCTGATGAGTACATCTCTGCTGTTCCCCATGAGCTTATTCTCTCTTCTCCTTGTACCACCCCTCCTAATGAGTCCCTCTCCACTGACCCCCATGAGTCTGTTCCCTCCTCTTTTCTTTCTTTCTCGCCTACTCCTGCTCCTGCTCCTACTCCTGCTCCTTCTCTTTCTCCTACTCCTCCTCCGGTGCTAGTCTATTCTCATCGCAGGGCTCCCCTTCCACCAGTTGTCTCTGCCACTGCTGTTGATCCTCCTGCTTTTGATGACTCTGATCTTGCTAACCGTAATTATCCCCTTCGCATCCATAAATAGGTAGTCAAACTTGGTTTTGCTAAAACATGTTTTTCGCCTTCATACTGTACATTTTTTTCCTGTTATTCAATCATTTTCAGAACCTCAGTCTTACAAGGAGACCTGTCAAGATCCTCATTAGATTCAAGCTATAGAGGATGGGAGTTAGTTCATTTGCCTACTGGTAAGAATCTAGTTGGTTGCAAATGGGTCTACAAAGTCAAGACTCATTCTGATGATTCTCTTGAGCGCTGTAAGACTCACCTAGTTGCCAAGGGTTTTTCACAGGAGTATGGTATTGATTATGAGGAGACCTTTGCCCTTGTTGCCAAGATGACTACTGTTTGTACTTTGATATCTGTCGCTGCTGTTTGTCATTGGCCTCTTTATCGGATGGATGTTAAGAATGCTTTTCTTAATGGTCATATCACTAAGGAGGCTTACATGCGTCCTCCCCCTGGCCTTCACCATTCCTCTGGATAGGTTTGTCGTCTTCGGCGTGCTCTGTATGGTCTGAAGTAATCTTCTCGTGCTTGGTGTGATTGCTTTTAGACTGCTATCACTAAGCTTGGGTTTCATCCTTTTGCGCAGGACTCTGCTTTGCTTTTCCTCTACACCTCTGCTAGTTTTGTTGCCTTATTACTGTATGTGGATGATATGATTATTACTGACTCTGATTTTTTTGCTATCTCTGAGGTCAAGTAGCATCTCTTCCATACCTTCGAAATGAAGGATTTTGGCCCATTGCGGTACTTTCTTGGTATTGAGGTGGCTTATTCTCCCAATGACTACTTTCTGTCTCAGGCCAAGTATGTTAATAAAGTTATTCACCGTGCTAGTCTTACTGACACTAAGATTATTGATATCCCTATTGAGCTTAATGTGAAACTTAACACTACTGATGGTGTTCTTTTGCCCGATCCTACTTTATATCAAGAGCTCGTTGGTTGCTTACTGATCTTGCCTGTGATGTTTATGTGGTTAGTCAGTTCGTTTCTGCTCCTCGTTTTACATATTGGATTACTTTGGTTCGGATTCTTTGCTATCTCTGGGGTACTATATTTCAGGATTTACTATTGTCCTCCACTTCCTCTTTGGACTTGATGACCTATGCTGATTCTGATTGGACTGATGATGTGACTGGTTACAAGTCGACGTCTGGTTTCTATATGTTTGTTGTTGATTTCTTGATTTCTTAAAAAAACAAGAAACAATCTGTTATTTCTCGCTCTACTGTCGAAACTGAGTATCGTGCTATAGCTCATGCTATTGTTGAGATTGTTTGGCTTTGTTGTCTTTTGTCTGATTTAGGTGTCTTGCAGTCTTTTCCGACCTCTCTGTACCGTGACAACCGCAGTGCTATTCAGATTGCCCACAACGTTGTCTTCCATGAGCGGATGAAGCACATTGAGATTGATTATCACTTTGTCCTCCAGCATTTGCCATCTGGCTCTATCTCGCTTCTTTTTGTCTCTTTGGTTCTATAACTTGCTGACTTCTTTACTAAGATTCACACCACTGCTCGGTTTCAATTTCTTCTTGGCAAACTCTCGGTGCTTTCTGCTAAAACACCTTAAGTTTGAGTGGGGGTGTGAGTATATTTGGCTTTATGTATATATGGTAGTATATATATATTTTGTATATATAAGGGATTCTTCTTTCCTTTTTCAGTCTTAAGTCAGATTGTAATATAAACTGAGGTACTCTTGTATTACATACACAATTGAATATATATAAATTATTCAGAAAACTTACAGATTCACCATATATATAGAGTGGGAGATATAATCAAATCCCTTCAATTAATGAATTGAAATAAATCAAAAATACAAAAAATCATAATAAGCACAAGGATAAATTATACTGACACCCCCTGAGGTTTGGTTCGATTACATCTCACCTCCTGATGTTATAGAAATTGCATTCCCACCCCTGTGGTTAATAGTCTCATTTCACAAACCCCATACTTATATAAAAGGCAACAACTCCTAGTAGAAAAACATATGAAATTACATTGAAAAAAAGAAAAAGAAAAAAAGAAGAAGTAAAGCAAAGCAGGAAAAGAGAGTGTATGAATTTAATGTCTTTTTGATATCAACGTTAATCCCGTCTAAATAATTACAATGACAGGGAAGTCAGTGTAATTTCCCAAACGTTAGGGAGTGATATACATTAAACTCAAACCTCAGGAGGTGTAAGTGTAATTTACCCTATGCACAAATCATGGGATCTCCATATATTCTAATACTTTCTAAATCTTTTGATATCCTTGATAATATAATCTTATCGCTAACAATTTTTGCATTGGCTATGATATTATCTCATAGATCAGAAATATCTGATGCTTAAAGAAGTCTCGTTAGAGTTCTGAGCTCCAGAATTTTTCTAGTAGATTGCTTTTTTCATATTTAATGCATCAAGAGATTATCAATTTTTTTGCAGTTATTAGAAGAGCTCCTCACGAATTCAAAATTGCTTGCTTAGAGGTTGGTTCCTGGTCATCACTACCACTCTATATCTTGATATCTCTGGAGGAAAGCAGGCTCTCTTAATTGTTTTAGTTCACCAATTTTCCAGGATATCAGGGCATTATTCCCTCCTGATTGCAATCCATTCTATGCTGGTTTTGGAAATAGAGACACTGATGAGATTTGCTACCTTAAGGTTGGAATCCCAAAAGGGAAAATCTTCATCATTAATTCTAAGGTAATTGTGAAACATCACCATCATTAATTGTACAAGGTCCTGTCTCCGTCTGTCTAATCTGAAGTGTGAAAACTTCTGTCATGGCTTTGAGTTTGCAGGGGCAGGTGGTTGTGAACCACCATGTTGATTCAAAATCATATACTTCACTTCATACTCTTGTGCATTACATGTTTCCTCCCATGTCCTCATCTGAGCAGGTATTTTTTTTTAAAAAAATATTTATATAAATTTTCTGCATTAAATCATTAAAAGGGGCTAAATTCGTGGTTAGTTTGTCCACCTTACACCCTCCCCACCCTTTCTCTTTAAATGTGGGAGTTTGAACTGAAGAAAAACAGAGGGCTCTCAGTTTTAAATCATAATTGCTGAGGAGCTCTTTTGTGAAGTGGCAGCTGACACAAGTTTAAACTCAGTACTACGAGTTTCTCCTCCTTTACCCCTTTCTGCTTTCTCTCTTTTGCATGTAGAGATTTCAATTTGAGCACATCATTTAAATTCTATAAACATCCTCATTAAGAAGATTGTGACACTAATGTTTTTTACTTTCATGTGACAGTAATTTATTTTCTCCAAAATAAGAAATGTTTGTAGAACTGACTCAATATTCCACCCAATTTCCGTCGGTCTCAGGAGGATTTCAATTCATGGAACTACTGGAAACTGCCTCCTGCTATTGATGCTTGAAGGTCTCAACAAGAAATCATTTATTTGGAGACAGGTGGATGCTGGTTGGCTTGTCGGCTCTTATTCAGGTACCTTCATATATTACCTTCAGGTACTATATAGTACATAAATCAGTTCAAGGAATTTAAAATGTGCTATCGAGTTGACACAATTCAAAATATCAAGTTAATTTTCTCAATTGGAGTTATCATATGGGAAACAATTGAGAATTTTAGCAATGAAATTATTGGAAAAACTAAACCTGTGTAAGCTAAGCTGTGGGATCTGTTTATTTTGAGTGCGAAATGATCAAGTCAGATTTTGGACTTAGAAAGCCTGTCTACAAATTAAAAGATAATTGAGGGAGGCTTTAAGACAACTATTTTGAACGTAAATGCCAGTAAGTTAATGAAAGCTTAGTGCACTTCCATTCTTTCCATTTTGACCATACACACTGTTCAGAATATGAGTAGTACATGTTTGTTTGTTTTTTTTTTTTTTTTCCCTTCTGTTGTATATTGTTGTTTGAAAGGAGCTTATATTTCCACATTTCCCCTCTTGGTCTTTCTTGGATACACACTCTCAAAATGGTGTATACTATATGGAAGTTACAACATATATGCTGTGTTTGGTTCATAGATTTGGATAGGAATTTGGAAAGGGTAAGGGAAAATATGAAAATATAGTTAAATTTCACACCTTTCACACACTTTTTCGTTTTCCATTTCTAAATCTCTATCCAAATCCATGATCCAAACACGACATTATGATGTTCATTACCACAAATGTTTAAATCACTTTTAGTCATAACTAAAAAATATTACTAAAAAATACAGTCAGTCATTGCCAAACTCTACACAGGGTATAACCAAATTTTTTTGAATCACAACTAATAATCACAATAGGTCACTAATATCACAGTGAGTCATAACTAAATCATAACTAACACCACAATGAATTATAATCAAAGACCACAAACATTATGTATTGTCGAATTTCCCTCTTTGTTCAAGTTTTGAGTGGTAAAAACAGGGGCACATTTGGCCAAGGAACTGACTGAAGGAAGAATTTCCACTCTAAAGATTACTTTTTGAATCTGTGGACGATTTTCAAATGCTGAGACAGATATGACCTGCGTTTCACTGCTTTTGTGCTGGAATGGGTGATTATATTAGCGATGGATTTATTTCACCTGAATCTTGCTTCAGAGAGAAAAACCTATGGATTTGCGTAGTGTACATTCAAGGGATCCCATGAACACTGCAATGTTCTCGTGTAAATATTTATTGTAAAATTTATGATAGAATATTAGGGTATGGCGAATGTATATTTGGCTTCCACACTAAACTACTGTTGGTATTTTTTCGTAATAACACAAGAAAAATATATAAAATAAATTAAATAGAAATGACAAAATAATTTTTTTTTATTTATTTAAAGAATGAAATACATAATAAAATACACAACTAAAAATATAGAAATGTATTAGATTATATTACTAATAGGACAAATTATCAACATGGATAATTAAATATTAGAACTCATCTTTGTAAATTAAATTTTTGAAAAAATAAGAACAAATCATAAGAAAAAAAGCAAACCGAGGTTTGCATTAGATAGTTTCCTTAAAACAGAGTCATTGCCTCCCGATGGATGCTGGAGGTACGCCGGCAGCTGTCTTTCAGGATACGACGGTTGAAATCAGCAAATGCAGAAGCAACTTCTAAATAGTTTCGGCGAACTTGACAATGGTTGCACTCTCTCTAACAAAAACCAAAGAATGGGCTACTAAAAGAAGATAGGAAAAATTTACTTTGGTAAAAAAAAAAAAAAAAAAAATCTCAAACTCTTTATCTCAAAATAACATCTCCATTTACTATAAAAAAACCTTTGCAAAAATTATCCTTCTAAGTTGGTGGGAAAAGGCTTCTATTTATATAAGTAGGAGAATCCATAGCCATGAAGGCTATACATCAATAGGGCCATAAAATGTCATTTACCAAGGCCATCAACTCTAGCTATTAGGGCTAGAGTTTTAAAGGTTGAAAACCTATGGCCACTAATATGATCACCCACTCTATCATCAAATATGAGAGTTACCAAAATTTATGTTTCTCATGGGCTTAATATATACAAATGAATATGTATATAATGATGTTTGAATAAACCAACTAGATGGGTCACAAAATGGATACTAATGTTGGGTCACAACCCGATCCAAGCCTAATTTTCAAACACATGCACAAGTTAAGCCCAACAAGATTAAGTCCAAGTCCAAGACCAAGCCCAGCACATGCACAAGCCCAAGCCTAGACCCAGTCCAAACCAAGATCAAGTCTAAATCTAAGCCCAACTTTATTGATGCCCCATTTATGAGACAATTCTTATTCACAACTCAATGGTTTTGGCTCATTATTTTTGTATTGCAATTTTCTCTCGTAAGAGAATACAAAACCACTTTGACCCACCTCAACTGTTGGTTAGGTCCTACTTTAATTTAAAATTAAAGTTGTCGAAAAACCCTTATCTCCAACAATTCCCCACATGAATAAAATTGACCGAATAAAGAAAAAGGACAACACTTAGGTGCCGTTTGGTAACACATTTTCAGTTTTCTGTTTATATTTACAAAAATTTAAAAAACTCAAATAAAAACTTGTTTGGTAAAATTTTTAATTTATAAATAAGTGGTCTCAGTTTATAAATTTGGCCAAAAAATGAAAACACAAAAAATGTGTTTCCATTTTGAGTTTTCAAATTTTTTTTTTTTTTTACTACCCAACACTACCACCATACCGCACACATTTTCCACCATCGTCTTCCGCCACCACAATCCACCACCCACCCCCCCACCACCACCCACCACTCACCTGCCACCACCACCCACCACCCACCTATCACCCACTCGCCACATTACCATCCCTCGCCGCCGCCGCCACCACACCACCACCACCACCACACCCACCACCCACCTACCATCCCACCCGCCACTTACCACACCACTCGCAACTACCATCCACCTGCCCACCACCACCACCCGCCACCTACTTGCCACTATCACTCACCAACACCTGCCACACCAGCCACCACCACCCACCCACCATCACCAGCCACCTGCCACCCACCCGCCACCACCACCCACCACCCACCAACCACCCACTCGCCACCTCACAGCCACCACGACCCACCACCACCACCATCGCTACCACCTCTACCACCTGCCACCATCACCCATCCACCCACCACCACCACCACCTACTCGCTATCACCCACCGACCCTGCCATCCGCCACCCACCTGCCACCACCACCAACCACCACCACCACCCACCACCCGCCACCGTCACCCACCCACCTACCACCACCACCCATCCGCCACCACCAGCTACCCACCACCTACCGTCACCACTTTCCACCACCATCTTCCGCCGCCATTTGCCACCACTTTCCATTTCTCACTTTTTTTTATATTTTTAAATTTTTTAAAACATTTTGTTAATTACCAAACGCGTTTGTAGTTTATGTTTTTCTAAAAATAAACAAAAATCAATTTATAAAATTTTTGTAAATATAAACTGAAAACGTAAACGTTACCAAACATATCCTTAACAATAAAGACTCGAAGAGAGAGCACATAGAATAATCCTACATAAAAAAATGTAGTTGTTGGCCTTGAACCTTTCGTAGTGAAAGCCTATCATATTTATTGGCTAACCAGTGAATGTGATATCTTAAACTGTTCTGTCGTTTGTGTAAACCGAGACAATAGATCTCACACAAGAGTTATTCCAACCATTATTCTTATTCTCACTGGTGTGTTCGGTTTGGCCCTGAAACATTGGCCTAGTTCAGTGAGTGTTTTTAAAGAATTTAACCTTGTCAATTCTTAAAGAAGCAGCATCACTTCCCATTCACATAGGTGGCCTACATAAGGTATCTCGCTATACCACGATTGACTATTTACAACAATTAGGTCATTAAAAACATTAACTTAACCTCCCATTTCACAGGGTATCACTACATAAAGGAATGGCAAGGAGGATTTACCGTCACAGTGACTCATTCATTACATGCAATTAGGTTGTCCTTTTGAACCTAGATCTTGAGATTTACAGTCAACTAGGTTGGGTTTTCCGTTCCAGCAACATTCGCTAAAGGCCTTAATCCCATTCCTTTTGACCACTTTCTTACTAACTCTCGATTTAACTCTTTGGTTAATGGATCCGTAATATCGTCCTTAGATTGTATATAGTTTATAGTGACAACACATGAGCAAAGTCATCGTATGGAACTATGTGTTCGACAAAAATGTCTAGGCCTTCCATCTATGCCCTACCAATATTTGATTGGTTGTTGCAAAGTATACAAAATTGCTAGCACAAGTTTTGATCAACATGGAATATCCTCAAGAAAATTGCAAAGCCATTCAGTTACTTTAGTAGCTTTATCTAAAGCAACCCACCGTCACTACTTTCCACCACCATCTTCCACCGCCATTTGCCACCACTTTCCATTTCTCACTCTTTTTTATATTTTAAAATTTTTTTAAACATTTTGTTAATTACCAAACGCGTTTGTAGTTTATGTTTTTCTAAAAATAAACAAAAATCAATTTATAAAATTTTTGTAAATATAAACTGAAAATGTAAACGCTACCAAACATTAACAATAAAGACTCGAAGAGAGAGCACATAGAATAATCCTACATCAAAAAATGTAGTTGTTGGCCTTGAACCTTTCGTAGTGAAAGCCTATCATATTTATTGGCTAACCAGTGAACGCTATGTCTTAAACTGTTCTGTCGTTTGTGTAAATCGAGACAATAGACCTCACACAGGAGTTACTCCAACCATTATTCTTATTCTCACTGGTGTGTTCGGTTTGGCCCTGGAACATTAGCCTAGTTCAGTAAGTGTTTTTAAAGAATTCAACCTTGTCAATTCTTAAAGAAGCGGCACCACTTCGCATTCACATAGGTGGCCTACATAAGGTATTTCGCTATACCACGGTTGACTATTTACAACAATTAGGTCATTAAAAACATTAACTTAACCTCCCATTTCACAGGGTATCACTACATAAAGGAATGGCAAGGAGGATTTACCGTCACAGTGACTCATTCATTACATGCAATTAGGTTGTCCTTTTGAACCTAGATCTTGAGATTTACAGTCAACTAGGTTGGGTTTTCCGTTCCAGCAACATTCGCTAAAGGCCTTAATCCCATTCCTTTTGACCACTTTCTTACTAACTCTCGATTTAACTCTTTGGTTAATGGATCCGTAATATCGTCCTTAGATTGTATATAGTTTATAGTGACAACACATGAGCAAAGTCATCGTATGGAACTATGTGTTCGACAAAAATGTCTAGGCCTTCCATCTATGCCCTACCAATATTTGATTGGTTGTTGCAAAGTATACAAAATTGCTAGCACAAGTTTTGATCAACATGGAATATCCTCAAGAAAATTGCAAAGCCATTCAGTTACTTTAGTAGCTTTATCTAAAGCACTGAATTTTGATTCCTTCATTGATCTCATGATATACATTTGCTTGGAAGACCTCCAAGACAAGGTTGCAACTCCAATTAGAGAAAACATATCCACTAATGGATTCGTAGTCTTTATATCAGATATCCAATAGGTGCCTTTGTATCCTTTTAGTACAACTGGATATCAAGTGTTATGTAACCCATAATCCCGGGTGTAGTGTAAATAATCCAACACCCGTATAATGCCCTTCCAATGAGTAGCATTAGGATTACTCGTGTATCTACTAAGCCTGCTATCTGAGTATGCTATACCTGGCCTTACTTTAAACTTCCAATGACTTGAGAATATTCTTGTTGAAATATACTTTCACCATTATTCTCAGCCAAATGTAGACTCAAGTCTATTGATGTCCTCGACATAATTGTATCTGATTTACTAAATTTCTCAAGTATCTTATCAACATAATGAGACTGAGAAAGTACAATACTACTAAATGTTCTGGTAATCTTAATCCCCAGAATCACATCTGCAAGGTCGATATCTTTCACATCAATCTTAGAATACAACATCCACTTGGTAGTATTGAATATCTTCTCATAACTACTAACAATGAGCATGTCACCTACACAGACACAACACAACATATACTGTTGTCATTATCTTTGACATAAACACATTTGTCCATACCCACTTGACAACATAGTGTAATCAAATTTCCCACGTCATTGTTTCGATGCTTATTTCAAATCATAAAATGATTCTCAAGCTTACAGTTTTTCCTCGTCCTGGAACCGACAAACCCTTCGGGGTGTTCCATAAAGATTTTATTCAACTAAATCTTCATATAGGAAAGCTATTTAAACATCCATCTTGATGTATCTCCAGACTTCATATAATTATGATCACATTCACCATAACTAGTGACCACGTATCA